CGCAATGCGAAATGAAAATCGCAACGAGAGAATCGCAATGCGAAATGAAAATCGCAATGCGGAAATGAAAATCGCAACGAGAGAATCGCAATGCGATTTTCATTTCGCATTGCGATTCTCTCGTTGCGATTGTAATTTCCGTGTTGCGATAGTCAAATGCATGCCTAATAGTGATAACAACTGAATAACAAGAGTTGGTTAAGTCAAAATGGTTGGCCTGAGTCATTAATTCAACTGAAAATGTTAAAAGTTCACACATAAAATCCACATAATACAACGTTTGCATTTAAAAATCACCTAAGTTAACAGTCCCAAAAGGTGAAGCCAATTGTGATTGGGATTTTGAAGATGGTTGCCTTTTGCTTGACACCATATGAGCTTTGGATTTTGATGAGGATCCATATTTTGGTAGAGGAAAAGATGATTTTGATGGCACTGGTGATCCACATGTCAACCTTGTATGACCTTTCCTTGCACCGACTACATGTCGATCTCTTCTTCTCTTCACCCTTAGACGGTATACGATCGTGACTTTTTGGTCGGCCAGGTAGCCTTCTGTCCATGGCTGGTGGCAAAACTGTTTGTAAGTCATCTGGTATGTCCCACTCAGAAGGATGTGGAATAGGGTAGACAATCTCGGCATAAGTCTGTCGATAAACTTCTGTAGTGTAGCAATCCATAGCGTATGCGCTTGAATCATCTTGGTTTAAATGAAGAGCAACTTTTATAACATGGCCACACGGATAACCAGATGTTTGCCATTTCATACAACTACACGTCTTTGCATTTAGATCGACTAGCCCATTTAAGTTATTATCCAGTACTTGAAACAAAGTGTTTGAACATGGTTCAACTCTCCATGACGTTGACTTCACAACACGTTTCGTTATCTTTTTTTCAGTCCATGGTGTAACACGATGTTCCAATGTTCCTGTAAATTTAAATAAACAATACTTAGTAAAATATATAAATATGATAAGTTACGAATTCAAAGAAATAATACCTGCATGGTTTCTTTTCTTGTAGTACCACTGTTGAATAGAGGCTCGAAAAAACTCCATTAACATAGTAATGGGTAATTTCCGGGAATGACGACTTAGAGCGTTGATTGATTCTGCACTATTAGACGTCATGAAACCATATCTTGCTCCAAGTTGATGTACTCTTGACCATCTTTCAAACCCGACATCTTCTAGTGTTTGAGCACACTGAGGCAAAACACGTCTTAAACAATTTATATGCTTATTGAAATCCACTTCCCGATAAGCTTTTACAGCCTTCCAGTATGTCCATTTGTGCTTTTTTATACCAGCAGACCTTGATTTTAGATTTCTATACAAATGAACACCACAAAGTCCATGAAAAGCATCTGGGAAACACCTTCTAACAGCGTTGTCAATTGAGTTTGCCTTATCGGATATGATTGTCAGATTGCTAATAGGACCTATGCAATCCCTAAGATGCCCCATAAACCATGTCCATGAATCAGAGGTTTCAGATTTGCCAACCCCGTAAGCTATTGGCAATATCCCATTGTTAGCATCCATGGCTACTGCTAATAAGTTTACTCCAAGGTATCGACCTTTCAATGTGCTCCGTCAACTATAATAACTGGGCGCATGCAAGTAATAAACGAACGAATCTACAAAATAATATACACAAGAAATATAATCATTTAAATGTGAAATGCATGTAACTAACAAAAATGAGTCAACAAAATTATATTGATTTACTAACCGTAGCACCAATGGCGATAAACAGCAACTCAAAGCGTCCATCTCTATCTGTTTTGATATGAGTTACCGACCCAGGATTTTTCAGCTTTAAATTGTGACAATAAGCCGGCAGTTGGGCAAACGATGCTTCTGGCGACCCCCTCAACAATTCCAAGGCATAACATTTGGCTCTCCAAGCTTGAGAATATGATATACTAATCTTGAACCGAGCATTCATGTCAGTCATAATTTCATGTCCCCGATATACCCTGCCATTCAAAAACATTAACTCAGCCAGAAAACCACCCAACACCTTTTTGTTTGCCTGTCTATGGTGAGGAAAAACTTGGGTTCTTGAACATGTATGTTTATCAATAAAAGTCCTAACTTGAAACATTTTGCAATCTTTTATTCTCTTTGCAATCATACGCCACGTACAGTTTTTGTCAATCATACACCTTGTTTCGAAACGATCTTTGCTTGATTTGTTAACTTTTAGTTGATAGACATCTTCCACACATTTCGTATACAAAGCTATCTTCAAGTCTTCCTTTGTATCAAAACAATCATCTTTCTTGACACGAATAACTTTTGTGTAACAATCAACTGCTTTCTTTGCCAACTCTTCTTCCGGTAACTGAAGTAATTCTGGCATATTCCAGTTATACTCCCGTGGCATTTTCTTTTCTTCGGGGACTTTTTCTTCTTCTTTTTCTTCTTCAGGATTATATGAATTACAGAATGGATGTTCAACATGTTCATTCACAGTCGTAACTTCCTCCTCATTATCATCAACAACATCTTCCTCGGCAACGGGTGTTTCATCATCAAAATTCGGGTATTGACCAATATTAAAATCATTACACACATGGTCTGTTTCTTCTTCTGAAACATCATCAAAATCCGTGTATTGACCAATATCAAAGTCCGGATATTGACCAAGACCAAATTTCGAATACTGACTAGTACTCACAATTTTTTCTGTTGGCTCATCATCGTCTAACTGGTCAATACGAAAACCGGAATTTGGTGCTGAAAGTGATTGGGATTTGGATTAGAGAAAGGTTGTGGGTTTTGAGAAAAACTTAGTTGATTACTATCCGCTACTGACCCAACAATACTACTTCTAGGTTCAACAACATACAATGTAACATCATCTTGTGAAACACTAATGTAAGCAATGAATCGTTCAACATCTTCATTGTCGGTTAACAAATAAACTTTACCATTTCTCTGATAAGATAGCCTAAATCCACTTAGGGGCTCTAAATTCAATTTATTTGAAACACGTAGCATTAGAGTTTCATAAGTTAACTTTTGTAAAGACAATTTTAGTTGAAGATTCATGGGTAAAGGCATATATTGTAAAACACCATGAACATTATCCCATGACCCTCCAAAACACAAATCTATCCAAACATGATCAACATTAGATGATTTCATGGTTGTAAATTAATTTACTAAACAGACGAGCTGCGAAACTAAAACTTGTTGCCGGATTGGGAAGGATGTCGTTGGATATAGGAACGGATGTCGCCGGAGAGAGTGATAGATGGAGATGGAATGAGTTGCGATTTAGGGATTTAGTTTATGATTTCAGTGTTATATACCCAAAATTTCAGTGTTGTGATTTACAGATTCTCGTTGCGATTTACGGATTATCGTTGCGATTTACAGATTCTCGTTGCGATTTACGGATTATCGTTGCGATTTACAGATTCTCGTTGCGATTTACGGATTATCGTTGCGATTTACGGATACGCGTTGCGATATACGGATACGCATTGCGATTTACGGATACGCGTTGCGATATACGGATACACGTTGCGATTTATGTGTTCGCGTTGCGATTTTCATATTCGCGTTGCGATTTTGGAAAATCGCAATGCGAATTTGTACTATCGCATTGCGATTTTCAAGAATCGCGTTGCGATTTTGGAAACTGATTTGCGATTCTGGGGATCGCGTTGCGATTTTTATTTCGCGTTGTGATTTTGTTGGTAATTTTGGCAAATCCAAAAAAAATTGGTTAAAATCGTATATTATAACTTTTTTTTGGTCACTGAGGCGATTTTCTCTTAAGAATATCGCTAACGCTAGTTTCACACTTTCACTCTTAAAAATAATATATAGATCACTTAAAATAACATACACTCAATAATTTTCTTTTACAAAAATAAAAATCACCTAAATATTTTTTTAATTCCATAAAAATCCAGTATATATAACATAAGATCCAAATAAGCATAAAATTCACAATATTATTGTCCAGAAAAGATCTTAGAAATCTTATACAAATCAATATTATGAAATCATTAAATTAATATAAACATAATGTAGCATAAAAATAATAGTTTATTATATTTCTTAGAGATTAATAAATAAAATTTGTAATATAAAAAAAAAACTGTTATCAAAGTAGGAGATCCACTTCAAAAGTTTTGAAAGATTAATCATATTTTTTAAAATTTACAGAGTTTGTATATATATTATTTTTAATTAATTTCTTGTTTTACATAACATAAAATATTTATAAGGTCAATTATTATTATATTACATAAAAAAATTATATAAAGTGGTCCTTTTAAATAATATTTTTTTATGAAGTCCACCGACTCACACTCTTGAAGGTTATCTCGTCTAAATTTATAAATCAAGGAAACATCAGTCATAATTACTATTTTATTAGTGGTGATGGATAGAATAGCAATGTGGTAATAATTTTTCGTTAGCAAATCAACCATGCAATTTCTTCCACACTCTTAAACTGCTCTTCGCACTAAACACCACCGACTTCTTCCATCGGGCTAATTGTTTTTATCTCTTCTAATTTTTTATCTGAGAAAAACTGAAATCAAACTACTATTAAAGTTTAATGTGGTTAAACCAAGTTACAGCTTATAAATAATTTTTCTTGCACCGACTAACTCTAGTTACCAAAAGGTTTCATATATACATGAGTGAAAGAAAGAAAAAATTAAAATTAAAATTTGGTGAAGGTTTCATATATATATTGGTGGGAAAAATGGAATGAAAATGATGATACTGATTGTAGAGATGATGATAGTAGCATCGGTCTACAATAATTGTAATTCTACGTTATATTAAAAAGTTATTTAGTAATTTTTTCTTCATAGATGAAAAAAAGAAACACAAAAGAATGGGAGAAAAATTAACGAAGAAAAAGGGGAATAGATTAAAGCATGTCGATAAGGGACCCATGACATGTCTCCTCAGTTAGACCCAAAGATGTGATTTTCATCTTTCTCTCTGCTCATGTATCCCTATTTTACCACCTTTTACTTTTTCAATTTCTAATGATCATTTCTTGCCAAAAATACCCAATAATTCATCTGGAACGAACATCAATTCTCAGTAATCATGTCGGGTGATATAGCCAGCGATTCTGCTGAAGGGTCCTCACGATCCTCCAGTAACCGCCACAATCAACCTCAGACGACGGCTCCGCTGAGCCGTTACGAGTCACAGAAACGGCGAGACTGGAATACTTTCGGGCAGTATTTGAAGAACCAGAGGCCCCCGGTTGCACTATCACAGTGCAACTGCAACCATGTTTTTGATTTCCTCAGATATCTGGATCAGTTCGGGAAGACTAAGGTTCACCTACACGGTTGCATCTTTTTCGGACAACCCGACCCGCCTGCTCCATGTACTTGTCCTCTAAGGCAAGCCTGGGGCAGCCTTGATGCACTGATTGGACGCCTCAGAGCTGCTTATGAAGAGCATGGTGGGTCACCGGAGACTAACCCTTTTGGAAACGGAACAATTCGGGTTTATTTGCGTGAAGTGAGGGACTGTCAAGCTAAGGCCAGAGGGATTCCATATAGGAAGAAGAAGAGGAGGACTCAAATTAAACCCAACGTCGATGAGCCTATGCCATCTTCCGAGCAACAGCCTTCCTCGCTAGCTGCCTAGCTAGGATCTTTGGATTCTTCGTATATATGGTATTTCTTTTGACTTCGATATATATATACATACACACACATCATTAGCTTTTCATTTTAACTTCATTTCTGTTTCTCTTTTTCACTCAAAATATAGTCAAGTCCATCTAGCGAGCTGCATTAAAAAGTGAGTAACTAAAAAGAAATACAAGATTTCTGCATAAAAAACATTTCAAGAACAAGAAAACTAGATTGCTTGAATAACTGGAAGTGGTTAGTTTATTAGAAACCACTAGTGTTATAGACCGACTCAGAACCGAAAAGAAGATAGTATTTTAAGTAATAGGATCTTCTTTCGATGGTAAAAAAACCCTAAAAGCTTTACACCCAAAACCCTAATTCTAAAACTCAGGCCTTGGAGGCCTTTTGCAGTATTGCAGAAGTGAGGTAAGTAATTTTACCTCAAAATTTTTACCCATCGATCATTTCTTACTATTGCGTGCCGTCGATTGGAGGAGAAAAATTACCCCTACCCTTCTCTCTGTCTTTTCTCTATTTCTCTCTCCCCCTATCATGCACACAAAATTAATAAATAAATATCGTACAAAAATATTTCCCAATTCTTTACTTTTCCCCTTGTTTATTTTTGGGTCTTTTTCTGTTCTGTTTGATTCTGTGCTCCCCATGAAATGAATGTCCATGTTGATATTATATATGGGAGTGCTACATTATCAACATCAATATGTTTAGTGATTTATCGTAGAAAACATGGTCAAAATTAGTTTAAATATTAATATTTGAGTGGTGGAATGGAACCAATTCATACGGACACTAGATTTTCTCTAATAGTAGATGATAGTTTAAAATAATTTATTTAACATTAGGTACGTCATCGTATCCCTTCTTTGATTGCGTCTTTATAAACTAACGATAATAGAATGCATATCAAAAGATTGTGGTAGCAAGGTATTGCCATCACGTTGCCTATAGACTTTTTAAATGATAGTATAATGCATATCAAAAGTTTGATGATTGGTGAGTAGATAGATTGTGTTTTACAAGGGATTACACTTCTCGTCAACATATATAACATATATAATCTAGTGGAACACATCATTAATTAATCTTGATCATTAAATCGATTAAATTATAAATAAAATGATAAAAGATTTATCATCAAGTTTTTAATATTTAATATAAATTCTGAATTCAATTCTTAAATAACTTCGGCTATGTCGATGGTTTAAACTTAGTCATGTAAAACACAGGCAAACCCCAAAGCAATAATCAACCTCACTAAAATCGTAAGTACCGAAGATGATAACAGATCTCTTGGCTTTCCTCTGTGTCCGGATTGTAATAGTGGTTTTGGAAACCTCATTACACTTCTGGATTTGGATGTTAATCAAGTTTTGGGTGTGGGAATATTTTAAATGGTTAAGCAGGAAAATGAACAGGGATAATAGTGGTGTTGATTGGTGTTAATAAGAAATTAAATGCCTGTGAATGCCAACTAGCTTGACCTATTGGAAGTTGAGTTGAGAGGGTAATTACACACGTGCATCAAAAGGCAAGAGCTCTAAACACTAAAAAGCTAGTTACTCCATTACCTACTCTGGGTTCAACTGATTAACTGAACCCAGTAAGGAATATCAGAGAGAATAATGTTAGTACTGCCACCTTTCTTTTCCCTGCTCTTTCTTTGCTCTGATTAGTATGGAGATTAATAAGAAACAACTTTTTTCTTAGGAAAACTAGTTTTTTTCCCCTCGTTATTGCCTTTGGAAAGAGAAGATATACGTGTATGTATATATATATATATATAGCAGACCAGAGTCCCTAGGAATTAGAGCAGATTAAATATGATGATGAGGAACCTAACAAAGGTTTTTTGGATCATTTTAGCATCTTATATGAAAAAGTGTTTGTTAAGGGACGGACCATATACTACCATTTTCTTGCTCAGTTAGAATCATTGTGCAAACCAATGAGTCATAATTATCATGTCAAGCATTATACTCCAAATACGCACAATAATTTGTTTCTTTTATATAAAACACTCATAATCATAACATAATTTTTGTTAATAATTTTTTTAGTTATCATAATCACTCATTGGATTCAGGTCTTATTCGACTTTATTAAAAGAAAATTTATGAAGAATCATCTCTCAAAAGTTATTATGTGAATTTATAAAATTTACTAGAATTAAAATATCAACATCAATAATTGTGTGTATTTTTTACATATCTATTCTAAAATTTAGATTAATATTTGTCCCCTATCTTGAAAAAGGAATGAAACGTCAATATGAAAAGATACAACCATATAATCCGAAAATGGGGTTCGAGGGAGGAGCACAATCGGTACCATATCCCTTACTTATTGCCCTATATGCATAAAGTTACAGGGTTTAGTTTACATCAAAAGATGTTTTGTGCATTTTTTTTTCAGGTACAAGGGACATGATTATAATGTTAAAACTAAGAATAAACACCACAAAAATACTATATATGATGTTAACGTTTTAGTTATATGAACTCACATAATGAATTTGAGCAGAATGACACCTCAAATTTATTTAAACAAAATATGATGAAACTCTCAACAAAATCAGATAAAAATAAATTTTAGGCATTTATTCACATAATTCTTATCAATAATTTAGAAAAGAAAAAAAAAAAAGAAAAAAAAAGAAAAAGAAATGGTGTTCCAAGTTATGATTAAAACGAATAGAGAGAAAGAAGTAGAAAATTCCCTAGTGATTGAGAAATGTAATATTTATTTATTGTAGTGATGGTATAGAAATTATATATTTTTCACATATTATTAAAAAAAAATTTGAATGAATATATTATGAGTTTCATTGATAACATATAAATTTTTACACTAATAATTAGTAATTTCATACAAAAATAAAATAAAATAAATGAAGATGAAAAGTACACATATTTTTCTTAGGAGTAAAAGTTTTTGTTGTTCTTTGAAATCTTTTGTACAATGATAAAAGATGAAAGGACAAAAAGCTGAGATTAATCGTATTGGCAATAACATTGTTTCTATTTTACAGCTGGAAATTATGGGTTTAAAAGAAACTACCTTTTTCAGGTCATAGAGTGGCTAAGATCTCCACTTTGGAGATGATCCTATGCTCCAGCCCATCGTCACTTTGCAGCTGCATTGTGGCGACAGCTACAGTACACGTTATAACTGGCGTTGCACTGTAGCTGCACTACATTTTTTTGGTAATTTTTCTGATTTTTTGTTTTTGTTATTATATGTAGAGATAGTGTTGGAGATGAATTATTGTTTTATCTTTAGAGTAGATATAGAGATATTGTATAGTAGAGATGAGGGCTAGAGATGGCCTCATTATCCTCATTGGGACAAAACTAGGATGAAACCAAGACCAAATTGCTTAATTTAGATAATGGTAAGGTCTTAGTAAATAATTAAATTAAAATGATTTGGGACTTATATTTTAAGATAATATCAAATTTTAGTTTTAAAACTCACAAAGTCTTAAAAGATACAAGTACTTATGTATAAACTTACATTTCATTTATTGCGTAAACAAACATGTAATTAAATACTTATTTACATGTACGAAATAATATACTTTAGTGGTTAAGAGATTATTATTGTAAGTCTCGAATTTGAACACAACTTCTGAGGGGATGTTTGAGTGTTCATTCTCAAATGATTGAGAGTTTTTAGGATAGAAACTACTTTGTAATTACCTCAAACTAATAAAAATACTAATTAATATTTTAATTCAAATCATAATTTGATTTCTGTAACAAATTTTATTTACTTGTAGAAGAGATTGTAACACCCTAATTCGATAAGATGAGGTCGATTGATTAAATGTCACACGAGACACTGTAGTGGCTAAGTCAAAAAAATTCTTTAAAACTTTTGTTAGACGTCATTTAAAGACCATACCATAAAATGTAAATCAACATAAATATTTAAGTTTACAAAGGAGAGCTCCCAAAATACAAATATCAAAATAATACATTCGAGTATTCAAAATAAAGTTACGACTCAAGTAAGAGGGTCTGTTAATAATACATGCCCACTAAAGAAATAGACTCAAGACATACTCTGCTGCTTCTCGGACTGTCTGGAATACGAGTCTACGCGATAAGCTCTCAGATGCTCCTCTTAAGAACCTGGGCATGAAACAAATTCTGAACACTGAGCTCATTAGCCTAGTGTTACACTAACAATTAAACCATACTAAGAGTGTTCATTAAATACTCATGCTAGCAAGTAAAAATAAAAGGGATTAAGTATATACATATATTGCACATTACACTAGGGTAGACATCATGATGTAGTTGGAAGGGTTACGACATCTCGGGACTCGCACCCTCTAACCTACCTGGGGTGAGATTCATAATTATGTATCAGAAACAACACCCAACTAACTCACCCCTCGCGTGTTCAGACTTCACACCCAAGTTAGCCATAGAAGTGTCTCGCGCACTTGATTATATATATCCAGATATTCTATATCATAAGACGATCATCATCTGCTAGAGTAACTCAACTGTCTTTTCTATTTCCCGAACATCAAATAAGACTAGTTTTATGTCATCCTAACTGATGTCGTTTCTAGCTGTAATTGAATATTATCATGGTTCTCACTTGAAATTTTATTTGGTGGAATACTGGTGTTATTTGGTCCCTCAATTCTCGCTATCAAATTCCTTGAATTTCTTATAAAAAAAATATACGACGATACCAATTTTGAGCCTCTGAATATCAATATTGACCTCTGGGTATTGATACTCACCCTGTGGTATCGATCTTGACATCTATTGGAAACTGTAAAGAAAAGACGTAATATCAATACCATTAATTAGAGTATCAATACTTATGAGTTCCAAATTTGACTTCCATGTTTTGAAAAATAATCCAGTAACGATACCCTAAAGGAGAGTATTGATACTCCACCCTTGGTATCGATACTCCTATGAGTATCAATACCAAAATTGGCTACTGAAATTTGAAATCCAGAATGATATAATAGCCCTTTTGGTCTTTCCTCTTTCATTCAACTATTAACAATACCTCTCTTCCTATCATTTGGGCTTAAACCCATCCCAAATTCATCCTTGATTTGGTCCAAGCTTTTCTACTAGTCTGGTGAGCTTATTTAAATCTTCCCGGGTTAGCCCAAAACTATTAGTCTAGAATTTGGAGTGTTACAGAGATAATACAATTACAATTTTTATTTTAAAAGAAACTCGAGCACTTTTACTTATTAAGGATAAAATAGAAGAAAAAAAGTTTTCATATCTTAAAATCCTTGAAAGATAAAGCAGTCAGAGCAAGATCATAAGCCTCTATATTATCAGTTCTTCTAATTCATCTAACTTGAATGTTCCTATGAACGATGACATAAAATTTTAAAAGTATACTTTTATATTTATGAAAATAATTATTTTTTAAAATGACATTATTGAAAGAATTGTTAAGAACCTAGCTTGAACATAGATTTCTTTAACATAAAAGATAAATAATTTTTTTCTTTAACATAAAAGATAAAATAAAATATAACTACAACTCTACTTTTCGAAAATATATATAATTCTATTTAGAATTATATAATATCATTTTGTTTATTAACCATGTACATATTTATACTAACAATATATGAATAAATCGTAATTTTAGATTCAAAAATAAATAAAATTGTAATTAAAAATATTTCACTTTTAATGAAATACAAATAATTAGTTTTTGAGTTTTACACTAAATACACATACTGTAATAGACAAGAGTTTATAAGCCTGGTAGGCCTTTGACAAGAGTATATAAGCCGAAATCATCCTCCAACACAAAGACTCTAAAATGCCTACTAATTACATAAAATAAACAAGTGTAAAAGAATTGGTGTTCTGCAGAGTGCTCTTCTTTATGCTTCGATTTCCCTTCTTATATCGAACCTTTCTTTACATCTATATATCCTTCTAAACAATCAAGAAAAGTTTATCTTTTGATTGCCAGTTAATAACCTCTTAAATCTTAGTTACAGTTGCATATACTTGGTTAAGTATAGATCGCAACTAAATTAAATAATCACAGTATTATACTTGTTCTGTGATTATTTTTTTCGTATTTCTTCTAATTTGCTTTAGTTGCTTAATACTAGTTAATTACAAGGTTTAATGATTTATGTTCCATTTCCCTGGGGACTGCTCTGTCAAGGATTAATATGTTAGAGACGGGGTCAATGACAGTAAAAGTGTCATCTTTTTTATTAACTTAAATTGGAGTTTTAAAATTTTACAATTGATATTACTTATAATATATATGACAGGAACTAACGTTTATCGTTTCTGGGTTTTGTTGGTTGGTGCAGAATGATCGGCATTCAGAACGAGCAAAATATGGCAGAGTGGAGGGAAAAGATTTAAGGGGAGAAGCCAAAGGAACGAGGTTAACTTTAGCACTACTACTATACAAGTACTGCCACTGTCTTAGAAAATCTGTGGGTCCATCGGTTTTTAGTTCCGATTATATCATCGATACTTTCGTATGTTTTATATTTCTACCATTACGTATGATCATGAAATGGACGTACAAGTAATTAATTAAGGTATTAGAAACATCAACTATCTCTTGTTTCTGTGTCTTCTTTCAAGTAAAGCAGGATTAGACCAGAACTGGGTTTTCTCTTCTGCTTCAATATTGCACTTAGCTTATTCTAAGTACTACTAATCTTTAATCTTTTCTCCCGCGATATTTGTAGTTTGACGGGGAAATAGAAACATGGAGCTTGAAGAGGTCCAATTACCATTATTGTCCTTTTATCATGTCTTTTGGGTTTAATCTATGCCTTAGCCCCTTCAAAATATAACTTCAGGCTCCTTCTTGTGCATCTTCGACGTAGCCCTTATCCTGTATTTTGACCCCTCAAATTTGGGAGGAAATTTGTCGGCTACGTAAGTATTGTATTTTTATGCAAAGTGTTCAGGGATTTAATATATAGGTTTTAAATAAATTTTTAATTAGGGACAACAAACATGTACAATTTTGTGAATTCGCATCAATCTGTTTTAATTAGGATAGGGATGAATACAAGTTTAATAGGTAGTGGGCGGGTGTACATGTAAAAAGTCATACATGTCGTGGTTAGTGGGTAGGTGATGGGTTTAAAACCTTTGTTGCTCCATCCGTCCACCCTACATCCGTCTGTCCATTAATTTCCCCACCATATAAATTTGGACCATTATGAATTTAGGTATAATTTCAAAGACTAATCTATAAATCTTAAGATTTTATAGGATATGACTTGTAATTTAAATGTTAGGGTATAAACTCAATTAATCCTTGATTTATTTAGACTTATATTACAAATAAATACTTAAAGTATATCATATTTTTCATTTAAGTACCTGAAGTATGTTTGGTCGAATTAAGTACTTAAAGTATTTTTTTTTTTGTCAAAATAGATACCTAAAGTATTCAAAAAAAATTCATCCAAGTACCTAAAGTATTCTTAATTAATGTCACATGTTAATAATTTTAGAACTTAGATGAAAAATTTGAAAAGTTTATGTACCTATTATGACACAAAATACTTTAAGTACATATTTGATTAAAAAGATAACTTTAGATATTTATTTTAATCAAAAAGTACTTTAGGTACTTAAAAATAGAGTATACTTTGGATACTTATTTATATATAAGCCTTTATTTTATATGTTCTCAGTGAATATGTTTGTTTTATGTTGTTTATATAATTTGTGAGGTTTCTATTAGGCATGTATAAATGGGTACAAGCATGTACTGGATAGGTAGTATCTAGTTGGATAGTGAGTGTGGGGTGAATTTAAGAATATATTGACGTGGGCAGATGTAGCTTTAAAAATTTTAACTGTCGTGGTGGTGGGTAGATGGTAGAAACGAAAATATTAGTGGGTATAAAGATAGAGAAGGGATATCCGATTCCACCCACCCGTTTCCCATTCTTACTTTAATTCTAAATATTATTTATATGATATCAGAATTAATTATTATAAATAATTATATTAGGTTACCGTAGAAACTGAATTAGAATCAGACTCGATCTGATGGGTGGCTATTTGGCATATGGTTGGCAATCTTAATGCAGTGACGCAGTATTTAGCTGCTCTGACAAGGGGCCATCTGATGCAAAAGATGTGTTTGATTCCCCCACCTGCTTCGGCACTGGATCTGCTTCAGCAAGACCTGAAATGTTGCGTGTTTAATCCTTAATGTCTTTTAGTTGTTATGGTAAAAAAAACCGCTACTAAAGTAGACACCATATTTAAACATTATAAAGTGTTGGTGCAGCCCGAATAGAATAGGAATTCAATCATTCAGATTTCAAACGGTTCTCTCTGTTGATAATAATTAGAATCAACCAAAACCCGTGTCGTGGTAAAAACCACTGCCTTAAAAACGAATTTGTCCCGATGTATGTAACCGCTAGAATAGACGGATCATCCCCAGGTTAACATGGTCGTTCTAAATTTCGTACACCCGGAAGTAACTCTGATATAATCATATGAAACTGTTGAAATAACAAAATGAGCCTGGCCCTCAGCATGTCTAAAATTCAGCCCATTTGTAACTCCATAAATAAATTTCTGTAACTCTTGTAACCGACCCATTAACAGCTTGTTCCTTATCTTGAACAAGGCTGTGAAATAGTCCAGGTTCATCCAAATGTTTCTCTAAAAAAAGAATTTGTGCGGTGTGTCGAAGACACGTATTGCAACGAGCCAGAAGCCTAGACCCCGAGATGAGACGAGAAGAGACGGATGGCAGCGGCGGCGGCGCGTCAGAATTCCTCTTGTTCTCTATCACTCAACAAGAAAATGGAGAATGGTAGCCTTAAATATCAATCCCAATGTATTTGAATACTCAATGTGGGATTGAGCATTACTAACATTCTCCCACTAATGCGAAAGAATTCTTTTGAAACTCAAAAACAATATTTCCAGAATAGCTATAGCGAGATTAGTGATGATGAGCAATCATTCTCTTAGAAAAGTGAAACTAATCTTGAACTTTCTAAGATAAGGGTAAACTTATAACACACAACTAACCCCTTCATCTACCTAAGTCATCGATGTGTAAGATATATATATACAAAAGTATATATTTGGCCATCTTACCTCAGGATTCTAGTAAGTGTGCTAGAAAAATGGCCCAACGTTTATCATAAAAGGTAGCTAACCTTTCTCACTTATGTAGGTTATTTCATCAAGTTTATCTCATAAACTACTCTTAATAGGACTATGAAATAATTAAGAACTTATACAACAGCTCAACCTCACAGAGGGTATGGTGATTTTTTTCAAGTTCATTATAAATGAACCACCCAAACTCTGGATAAGAAGTCATTAAGAATAAATATTCAATCTCTTTAGTCTGTGAATTCAATATGTATTTCTCACTAGGACCGTCCAAACTTTGGATTTGAATTCATTAAGAGTTTTTCATAAAACTTAACCTTTTTCTAGCAGTAAGTTCATCTTGTCCTTATCAATTAGGACTACCCATTCAACTCTAGGTTATGGACTTATTAAGAATATATTTTAGCCAAAATCATTAATTCATCAAGTCTTTTTCACTAAGACCTCCCAAAGTCTGGGCTATGAATTTATTAAGAGCAATTAAGTTCAACCTAGGCATGCACATTATTCATCATATGGATAGATTGATAAATGTACACTATGAGTCTTCCATGGTTTCGTTTCACATTGAACTTAGATAGCTAAGTTGGGTATCCACCACGAATTCCTCAACCAATGGGCTTTAGACCTATCCCCCTTGACGAATCTAGGACCAGCTTCCGACTTAACCCTTTGGTAAGCGGTCTGCTAAGTTCCTTTCCGACTTCACATACTCTAAGGAGTACTCTATTTCTAATCAAGCGTGTAACAAATTCATGCCTAATGCGAATGTGTCTTTTCTTACCATTGTAAGCTTGGTTCTTTGCCATATATTGCAACTTGTGAATTACACAGTAAGGAAACATGAGGAGTCGGTCTTCCCCATAATGGAATTTCTGTTAACAAATTTCTGAGCCACTTAACTTCTTGCCCAACTAGATCAAAAGCTATAAACTCTGACTCCATGTAGAACAAGCAATACAAGTATGCTTTACAAATTTCCACGAGATTGTTGCTCCCCAAAGTGAAACATACCCGCTCGTAGAGTTTACCTCATCATTTTCAAAACCCAATTGGCGTCACAATATCCTTTCAGTACCGTAGGATAGCCAACAAATTCAAGTTTCCAATCTATTATACCTTTAAGATACTTGAGTAAGTGTCTAAGAGCAAACCAATGCTCACCACTTGGATTATGTGTATATCTACTAAGTCTTCTCACAGTATAGGCAACATCAGGCTGAGTATGGTTCATCAAGAACATTAGGCTCCCAATCACTTTAGCATATTCAGTTTGGGAAACACAACTTACTTTATTCTTAAAGATATGTATTCTAGGGTTATAAGGGGTTCAAACATGGACGACGTCAAAACTGTCAAATTTCTTCAACATTTTCTCAATATAATGTGCTTGACTCAAAAAAACCCCTTTTCAGTTTTGGTAACTTCGACTCCTAAGATTACATCGACTTCTCCCAAATCCGTCATCTCAAACTTAGTGGACAAGAAATATTTTGTTTTGTATATGGACTCAATGTTGTTACTGAAAATCAACATGTCATCAACATATAAACTTATGATGATACAATCAACACCAAATATAATTGAATACACGCATGCATCCGAACTATTTACAACAAAATCAAAACTAAGAATAGTTCTGTGAAATTTCTCATACCACTGTTTAGGAGATTGTTTGAGGCAATAAAGCGAATTTTTAAATCTGTATACTTTGCTTTCCATGACAGACACCTCGAAACCAAGTGGTTGCTCCATATAGATCTCCTCGTCTAAGTCTCAGTTCAGAAATGCAATCTTACATGCATTTGATGTACTTACAACTAGTGAATGAAGGCTAAAGCAAATAATGCTCGGATCGTTGAGATTTTCGTTATGGGAGAGTATGTATCGAAGAAGTTTATACCGAATTTCTGAGTGAACCCTTTGGCAACTAGCATTGCCTTGTACATTTGAATAAAGCCATCTGGCCTTTTTTTTCTGGAAAACCCATTTGTTGATGATAGTTCTAAATCCCCTAGGCAAGTAACCAATTCCAAGTATGATTAGACATTATCGATTCTAGTTCATCATTAATAGCCCTTTTCCAAAACTAGCATCAATAGATCGTATAGCTTCCTCATATGTTTTAGGATCCACATCTAACAGAAATATTTGAGCTATAAGATTAGAAAGAGAGCCTAAATCATTTATCTTAGAAATAAATGAAGTTATGAAATCTGGTCCAAAAGTGATTTCAGTTCTTTGTCTTTTACTTATTCTAGGTTCGGATTCAATTTCTTGAGTAGACCTAGCAGGTACACTAGAAGAAGTGGATGAAATGTTTTTATTTATATTTCTTC